TTCTCGAGCTGCTCTTTATTGCGTTTCTCCAGCTCTTTATTGTTGCTATCCAATTTTTTTGTTTCCTCCTTCAAACGCAGCAGCTCACTTTCGAGCTGTGTCACTTGCTCGACGGTGGCGCGGTGACTGTGCAGCTCGATCAACAGTTTATCAACAACTGTCTTCTGATCTTCGTTATCCTTGCGCAAGCGTTCAAGCTCTTTTTTATTGATATCGACGTTTTCGTGTAAGCTGGCGATTTCATCTTCCTTGTCAATGATGTTGTTGGCGTTCTCCTCCATGGTTTTGTATAAGTCAATTATTTGTTGATTGAGCGTTTCTATGGTTTCCTGCTTATTTGAGAGCTCATTCACCTGCTCGGTCACTAAGTTTTTGTTGATCTTTAGCGCTTCGCGCAACTTTTCGCATTCTTTGCGCAGTCCTTCGGTCAACTGATCGCCTGCAGAGGTGAGCGTACGCTTAAGCTCCTTGATTTCGTGGCGCAACTGCAAAATTTCCTCGTTGCGTTCTTGCAAATCCAACAGTTTCATATTGTTTTCGTGTTCATGCTCTTTGTAGGCCGCTATCATCTGTTGCTTTTGCTCCTGGACCAAGGTTTGCAGTATGTTCATTTCGCCTTCGTAGGTATCGCATTTTCCTAGAAGAAAACAAAATAATCGCATGAATATCAACGGTTTATATTAAATGTTCGTTATTTACCTTCCAACTCTTTCCTTAAACGAGTCAGTTCCTTCAGCTCCTGTTCATATGTTAAACTCTTGTCGTTCAATAAGCTCTCCAACTCGCTTGAGCTCTTCTTCAACGCTTCCAATTCCTGATTGAGATGTGTTATTTCGCCGCTGTGCTCTTGGTCCGCGGTACGCGCCTCTACCAACTGCAAGCGCAAATTTTCTACAATCGATTGCAAATCCACACACTGTTCTTCATACCGCTTGAACTCCTCCAACTGCTTTTCGCGTTGCTCTTTGGTTGTTTGCTCCTCGGTTAACGCCGGCACTGCGTCTGTCTGCGTTGACGGTGCAGCAGTAGTGTATGTGTCATCGACTTCAAGCGACTCTTGCAGCTCTTGTTGCAGTTCCTTGATTCGCTCCTTCAGCAGTCGATTCTGTGTTGTCAGCTGTTCGTATTCAGCCAATGCTTTGCCGTTGGGCGCCGTTACTGCGACCACCGTCTCCACAACCGTTACCGTTTCCACTGCTGTACTGGCCTCTTTCACCTTCTGCAAGAGTTCGCTGAGTTGTGTGTACGCATTCTTGGCTTCTTTCGCCAATTTTTTGGAAGCGTTAAATTTGGCATTCTTGTCGTTGGCCTTGCGGTAGATCTCCAATTCGTGACTAAGATTCGTCAGACACTTCTCGCACTTTGCAATGAGCGGAGCGTCATCTTTGCTGTCGAGTGCGGCCACTAACTCTGAGGATTTTTGCAGTGAAGAGAGCTCTTGTGAGAGTTGATTGCCTTGCACCTTAAATTCGGCCACCTGCACGGCCAGTTGATCTTTTTCCTTACTCAGCTCCCTGATACGCTCCTCAAGCTTGATTTTCGCGTCATTTGCCAGCAGCACGTTTGTCTCCATTTCTTCCTTCTCACGTGATAGTTCTTCGATTTTTTCGATAAGTTCGTGATTTTCAGCTGTCAGGTGTTCCATGCGTTCGAGCACTTCGCGTCGCTCCGTCGTGAATAATTCGATTTTATTCATCAACTCAGAGCTTTCTTCACGCAATTTGACCAGACTATCGCTCAGTTCGGGCGCCAGCTCGGTTTGGGTTAATTCATTGACGGAGTTGACGACAGTGCCATCAAGTTGTTGCTTGTTGTATTCGTCGATTTCGGCGCGTTCCTGCTGCGTTAACCGCTCAACAATTTCAATTGATTCGGCCGAGGAGGAAGACTTGCTGAGTTTTTCAATTTTATCCAAGAGTTCCATATTTTCAACCATGTAATTCTCCAGTTTCTTGTCAGCCGCCTGCTTTTGATCCTGCAGTTCAGCAACTTTCTCTTTATGTTCTTCCAATTCGACGTGCGTTTTTGCTAGACGCTCTTCTAACTGCTGCAATTGCTGTGCTTGTTCTTCTACTTTTTCCTCTAGATGTATTTCGGACATTTCTGACTTGACACGCGCTGTCTCCTCACCATCTCTGCTGTCTAGTTGCTCTTGCAATTCGCGCAATTTTTCCTCGACCACTTCCAGTCGTTGAGCTTGCTCGTATTTTTGCTCTTCAAGCAACCTTATCGTCTCCGCTTGTGTCTGAAGTTTTTCTTCTAATTCCACTATTTGTTTTTGTTGCTCTCCTACGTTATTCGTGTCGGTAGTCTTAACGGCAGTATCCACTTGCGTTAACTGCCACTGCCCCTTTTCATCTTCCAACTCGGCGATTTTTTGTTGCAACTCCTCGCTCAAAGCTGTCAAATGCACGTTTTCAGCATGCATATCTGAGCTTTTCTTCAATTTTTCCACCTGCTTTTCTGTTTGTTTGCATTTCAGTTTGAGTTTTATCATAGCTTTATTGGATTCATCTAATTTTTGCTTCAACTGTTGTATTTCTGCTTCTAAAGCTGGATTGTCCGCAGCCTCGCCACCGATTGAAGAGAATAGTGATTTGCTCTTACTTGCAGCTTCTAGTTTTTCTTCTAGCACTTTAAAGTTGACATTTAAAACATTAAGTTCTATTGTTTTCTCCATCACTTCCTCTTCCATGCGGCTTATTTTGGTTTGACGTTCTTTCAGGTCTTCGCGTTGACTTTCAATGGTCGCTTCGAGTGCCGCAATCTTCTCCGCAATACTGGAGTCGGACACTTCCAGCCTTTCTTGTTCATAAATAGTTTCCTTCAGCCGCCTATTTTCCTGAAACAATTTGTCACATTCATCACGTAGTTTTTGTATCTGTTTGGCCATTTCCTCTGAAACCTAAAATGGTATTAAATAATTTACTTGCAAAATTAATATAACTTCAAGTTATTTTACCTGCACGCTGGTTGTGTTAATAGTGTTACCAGTTTCTACTACAACAGCTTCTGTGGAATTCTGTAATTTCTCCAGCACCTCTCTCAAAGAGACGCACTTTTCTTCAGCGCTCTTCAACTCGTCTTCCACCATCTGCACTCTCTCATTTTCCGCATTCAATTTAAGTTTCAGTTGCTGTATTTGCTCTTCGCATTTAGTATTTTTCAATGTTAATTCGCACCTGTTGGCCTCCAATATATCATTTATTTCCTCTAGTTCTCTAATGCGTATATGCTTATCGGCTAAATCGCTACGGAGACGTTCAATATCGTTATTCTCCAATTCGGCTAGTTCGGTAAAATCGTTGCTGGTGTCGCCTTGCTTCAGCCGCATGAGACAGAGTTCCTCGTCTTTGGTGCTAACATCCGAACGTGCACGCTCCAATTCCTCTGCTAACTGCTGTGTCTCACCAATCTGGTTTGCAATCTCACTCTGTCGATCCTGCAGTGACTTCTCCAATTCAACCACTTTACTTTCCAGTTCTTTGAGTTTCTTCGATTCGTTGGCAGTCGTTGCTTCTTGATTGCCGTGCACTTGACGCTCCTTTTCAAGTTGCTTTTCCAGTAGGCGGCAGCGATTTTCAAGGAACTTTATGCGTTCTCTCTCCAAAGAGAAAGGTTGTGACGACAAATCCGTGGCCGATTTGTGTCGCTCACGTGACGCTGGTGAGCGCACTATCAATGCACTGAGATCATTCATTGATTTGCCCATTTCATTGGTATCCTCCAAACATTGTTGTGTCGTGTCGAATTTCTCTTTCAATTGTGAAACTAGCTGCTCCAAATGTTGCTTACTGGATGCTCGCTGTGCCATCAATAGTTTATTCTGTTCCATTTGCTGACGCAAAAGCTGCACTTTTTCACTGCCTTGCATCGTGCTGCTTGTAAGTGACTTGCTAGAGTCACTGCGATGCTGCGATTTTAGTGGTGCGAAATTGGGTGTGGAAGTCTGTGCGAACTGTGTGGGCATACCAACATTTTGCCCTATGTATGAAAATGAATGGTTTAATTGCGGTGGACCTTGTGATTGCTGTTCTAACACCGGTTCTATACTCGGGTTCGGGTCAAAAGTGGTAACATTTTCCTGCACTGTAGAGGGATTGGAAGCAGGCAAACTTTGTCGGGAACGCGCTTTATTTTTCAATTTTGTTAGACATTGTGCTATATTTTTCACCTTTGCTTGAGTAGTTGATGTTGATTTGCCATGCGCTGCTTCAGATTTTCGCACAAGCTCTTTTAGTGCTGAAATCTTTTTCTGTAATATTTATATTGTTGATTAGACTGACAAAAAATTAAATTTAATTTATTACAAGTAATATTCACCTGTTGCTTAGAAAAACTCTCCTGTAAGTTGCTAATGTTGGCGGTATGCTCATTGCTGGACATTTTTTATTTTCGTAACAACGGAAAATATTTATTCGCTTTATAACTCGATGCTGTTCGTTGCAGTCCTTAATTACACAGTTTCTGGTAATATTAACTTCTACTATTTTGATATACTTGTCTCCTTACTTTATTCATGCAAGTCTGTTACGTTATTTTTGTTGTATTTGTAGTTAAAGCACAATTCAATCGATTTTTGTACATTTGAGCTGTAATTAGAAAAGTGAAATAAGAAAAAAATTAGCATTAAATATGAGTAGTAATTAGACATTTTATTGCTAAAAACAGAGAGGAAATCATGATAACACATCTATATCTGTAACACACACAAACTAGTGAACAGACAAACAATTATATATGAAGTTGGAGCACCCAATTTTTGAGGCTACTTTTGCCAGAGCAGCAAGTGTATGACGTGTACGTGTTTGCTAACAAGTAGTCTTCGTGTGCACTAAAACAAAAATAATCCTCCAAATATTTACATAGTTTTATGCACCAACCCTTCTCCAAGGTTTTTCCTATGTTAATTAACAAATATTATTGCTAACTTCGATAAATTTACCAATTTTAAAAGACAAAATTTCGGACGATACACAACAAAAATAACTTCCATGTCAGCAGAATTTTCACACTGTCAAAACGTTCGCATTGCCAACTAAGTCGATGGCAATCTCCTCTTTTTTTATTTTAATTAGTGTTTTTGACAATTGTGAATGTTTGTTAAGAAGAAAATATCTCTAACGGTCGCGAAAAATGGTTGAATTGTTTCCTGCGAATTTCTTTTTTGGTTTTTTGACTACGTATCGTGTTTTTACCATTGTAATTTATAGCTTCCTGAAATCAATAATATTGTCGCGTTCGAATCGAGTACAAATTTGCAATTCGTCCCTTCAATTGCGTAGAGACAACGCTGCCGCGTGTCTTGTGTTAAGAAATTGCTGTAGCGCCGGGAAGTTTTTTTTTTTAATTTGTGTTAATCTATCTAGTTTCAACCTGTAAGCTTAAAAATGTGTCCTTGAAGTAAGTAAGTGAACTTAATAAGTTTTCAGCTAAAGTGCAGTTCTGTAAACAAAAATAGTGAATTCAAGGTGAAGTGTATGAATTTTATGGCCAGCTGTATTGCATCCAAGTCCTTTGTAAAATCGTGCATCGTGTGTGCATACTATCAAATATAAGTGTCCCGGAATCGTATGGTAGGAAATTCAAACGGCGTCGTGGACAATAAAAATGCATGGTGGTAAGTGGTTTTAATTACAAACATTAGTCAAATATTTATTTGTAGATATATACAACATTTAATTTAGTATTTAACCCTGTTGTTGACAATTACCAATTTATTGTGCAATTAGAATGCGCAATAACTTTAGTTACGTACATTAAACAATTTATTTACATATTTGCATTAGTAAAATCTTAATAATTTGAATAATTATATGTATTCGCATATTCGAACTATTTATCACTTAACGATTTCTGGACACACCAAACATTGAATAAATAAAAATTCACATATTTAATGAATATAAAATGAAGTACTAATAACAGCAAGATATCTTCATTTAAATTATATCTAGTATTTATAAAATGTATGATTCCACAAATCAAACCCAACAACAAAACATTGTTAACATATTATTTCAAAAACCCAAAAATTTATAATAAATCTATCATTGGTAATTGGGGAAAAGCTTAGTTTAGGCCTAACTGTACATTGCACTATAATTATTTTCTAATAATTTATAATATATACTAGCATCTTAGCGAGTTGACAGTATATGTTTTAAATAATTAAGGTAAATAATATACAATAGGCTACTAATATTTTACTGTCCTCCATTTATTTACGCTTTTTGTTCACGACCACTCAGTATTTGAATTACATCCTGTTGACCACCTCTCCTAGCATAATCCAAGGGTGTTAATTCTAGCATATCCTTTTCCCTTGGATTATCAACAATATTTAAAAGAAATAGTACCAAATTCGCATGGCCATGCAAAGCGGCCAAATGCAGAGCTGTGCGCCCGGAAGGATCGGGTTGAGCTAAATCTGCACCGGCCAATTGATAGGATTTCAGGCGCACCAACGAGCCTCGTGCTGCAGCAGCGCATAATTGTTCACCGATTGCACGTGATGAACCAGTTAGATGAGCACCACAATTTATAAGTATTTGTATGATTTCGTGATGATCACCCGAGATCGCCTCAAGTAAAGGTGTGCGGTCGTAATGATCGCGAATGTGAACGGATACACCATTCATAAGCAAATGATTTACAATCGCAATGTTGCCCTGGTTACAGGCGAGATGCAGCGCAGTGCGATGATCGTGATTTACGCAGGATAAATCTGCACCGTAGGCTTTAAGATTGGTGATCTGCAAAAGGTGGTAGTGAAATAGAGATGATAAAAATTAAAAAATATAATGTGGCTGTAAGCACCAACCTTAGTTATGTCACCCTCCTGTACGGCTGTGTTTATCATAGCTGGGAATAGTGTGGCACACATTTGACCCAGCTCCTCGGGTGTAGATAAATGCATAGAGCGGGCAACCGCATCCACCAAATCGAATTCTTCCATTTTGGCACCAACCGACGAAGTCAATTCACCGCGAAGATTGATTTGCATAAGCTGCATAGGGAAAGCATAGAATTATTAACCAAAGTTCAAACTATAAAAACTTCAAAACTATTGCCACTTACCTCCTTCCGTTGCTCTAGCGTTAAGCCCGTTTTGCCCAACACATATGAAAGTTTCGTTAACGCCGCTTCAGGTGTCATATCATAGCCCGGTAATATGCCAATATCGAATAACACCTTCCCCGTGTCATATAGCGCCGCTACGGCACCATTAGAACATTGTGTACAATTTATAATTATTACACCACGATCGCAAGCCATCTTAAGTTCATCGAGAAAATCTTTGCGATTCGAGGGCACATTACCGGAGCCAAACGATTGCAGCACTACACCTTTCATGGGTGGCGCAAGGAATGCGCGTATGGACGATCTTGAAATACTCGGAAATATACGCAAGATGCCGACATTCTCATCCAAATTCGTTTGCACCGAAAACCGTGAGACCGTGCATGGCCGAAAAATTAATCGATAATCGATTTCGACATTTATACCGATCGTGCCTAAAGGTGAAACATTTGGTGTGTCGAACGCCTCCAAACGATCGGAGCTCACCTTTACTGTGCGATTACCACGCATCAGCTTATGGCCGAAGAAGACGCACACCTCCGGTAAAACATAGTTACCGGCAATTATTAAGGCGGATGTGAAATTGTCTTTACCGTCGGTGCGCGTCTCGAAAATAGGTATCTGGGAACCGGTAATGATGACAGTTTTGCCAAGATTCTCCAACATAAATGACAGCGCCGAAGCGGTGTAGGAAAGCGTATCGGTGCCGTGGAGTATGACGAACCCATCAAAGAATTCATAGGATTGCTGTAAAACGGGAAAATAGATTTTAGAATTAAAATGAATTATGCGTTAGTTAAGTGTCTGCTTGGCGTACTTACATGTATGTCCTTGGCAATGCGCGCCCAATCGTTCATTGTCATATTGCTCGAGTCCAAGAGTGGCGCATATTCGGTCACTTGATAGACAATGCGCCGCTTCTCACCTTGCACAAATGGCAGTACAAGTGGTCCCATCGACGCTGCCGAGCCAAAGCGTTTCTGCGCATAAGCTTCGTCATGTATGTTCGGGTATCTGCGCAGCGTTTTCACCAGGGCATTGGGGATGGGCGCTAGAACTAAAAATGGAAGCGGAAGAAATTATTAGGAATCTTGAATGCTAAATAAAAAGGGGAATATATCTAATTACTTACCGTTGTTTTCGTTTCGCACCATACCAATTGTGCCGCCCGTATAAATGACACGCACACGGGCCTCTTTTATTTCGGTTGCCAGCAGGTTTCCATCACTAATGTTACGCTTTATTGGCGGTGTCTCCAATTTGCCATTAGGTGTTGCTTGCGGTTTGTCCGGATTATCGATTGATGTTATTGAGTTCAGCCGCATTTTCATGAAGAGTCCATCGCCACGCAGTGTGCATGTGGAGGCATGTTCATTTGTTTGTGTCACTGGTGGCACAGGCGAACTGATTTCAGCGCAATTACATTCTTCATTACCGTTCGTTGTTATTGTTGGGTTGTTGGACATAATTTACTGGATTATTCTGGATATTATTATTTTGAAACTGAAAATTTTAAAGAAATTTTTTTTCAGAATTTACGATATACGAGACTGCTTGAATTTAATGTAACTTCAATTTCTTTTTATGCCCCCGCAACATGCTGCTACAGAGTATAATAGTTTTGTTCACGAGTTCACTTTAATCGAATTTGTTTAAGCAATTTTTTTGTATTTTTTACAAACATTGTTTTTTTTTTTTAATTAGTAATAGCAAATGAAAGAGGGCATTTTCACTCATAATCGTACTAAATATAAGCGGAATCGGTTCGGCCTGTTAAGTATTCGATATATTATCCTTTGATAAGTTTAATTATATTTAACTCTAAATATGTATACGCTCTAACTGGACCTTAAGAAAATGCTAGATGTTCATTAAATTCTTAATAAAAGTCGCTGAAGAGCCGATCTTAAGCTAAAAGCTTTATGTTGATTCGCGATACACTTACATACATACATGTATTATATAAATGTACTAGAAATACTGGTCTATAAAAATGTACCGATTCGTAATAATTAACAATTAATCAAAGAATGTATTCAGAAAAAATCAAGGTAACAATTTGGAACTGCAATACATAGTTTTAAAATAGTTGAATTGAAAGTAACTGCAAAAATAAAATCAGTGAAACGTGTAAATATTTTAGATTTTCTCTGTTCAATGCAATACATACAAAAATACGAAATAGTATATACTTACATATATATTTAGGTATAAGTGGTGTGGCCAAACTGATATGCTCAAATGTGCAATTATAACTGAAGCAGCAACACACAAAAAAAATAAATGAATTCACTATAATAAACCGTTTTTAGTTATATTATATATTAAATTTTTTCAGATCGAATTTAATTCAATGAGTGGGTTACATTTACATTTTGGAGTAAGAATACATCCAAGCGTAGTTCTGACTACTATAGACCTTAAGGTCATCTATACATTCATTAGCTTAGATTTGGACTTAAGAAGTGAGTCAAATCACATCATCATCATTGATTTGTATACTGGAAAATTAAATAATCAAATGAAATTTGAAATTGTAGTATATGGAAAGTTCACCTAAACTTGATATCGGCTCCTATAAAGCCATCGTACCATCGCGAGTGTGAAATTATATGCCTCTGTCGCATTTGCTTATAGACTTATCGCACTTTTAGTAGTTTTTAACAAAGCCATTATATGAGGAGTGGGCGAAGTTATTATCTGAATTCACCCATTCTCACAATGTGGGTAGAATACCAAAAATATTAGCACTGGGCGAATTTAGTTATCAAAGGTTGAATGCCTTAGGAGATATGTACATATGTACTTATTAGAGGTCGAGGCCACGCCCACTAATTAAAATTTAACCATAAATGCCTCTCCCTAATGCAAGTCGTTTTGCTAAATAACCACCATGTATCTTATTGCGGAACTTAGTTATGGCAATTTATTAGTTTTCGATTAATGGCGTAATGGGCGGAATGGGAGCTAAGACCATTAAGTAGATATTGGGATGAGAAAAAACAAATAAAGTAAAAATTGTTTTTTTTGCAGTTTTTACAAAAACATGCATATTTTGGGGAAAATTTCTCGACATTTTTTGTTTTTTAAATAGTTTTGACTGAACAAAAAAAATTCCTCCGCAGCAAGACCTTGTAAATTAAATCTCAAAGACGTGTGTAAAATTTCATTAAGATCGGTTGAGCAGAAATCTTGACAACTGACTTTGAAAACACAGTTTCGAGAAAAACGCGTTTAATGTTTTATGTGACTATATAGCTGACCTCGAGCGCGCAATTTTTAAAGCTATATCTCCGAAACTATTACTGGTATCAGCTTGAGAAGTTAGGACAATATTTTTGCGATTTGAAGCCGTGAAACCCATCAACGCTTGCACGGACGGACAGATGGGCGGTCACTCGGAATCCAACTCGTCATCCCATTAGTTGGATTTTAAACATGAAGAGTTTGTTGTGTCCTTTTGTAGTCGAAAAGGAAACAACGATGCATCACGAAATTTTCAGAGATTATGAAACATATAAACCCGTGGAATTATTATCATGTACCTGAACTAATGTACCAAAAGCCAAGCACTTATCCACCTGAACTACTTAGTACAATGAACGATAAAAGTCCAATTTTCATTTTTCAGTGTTCAAATTACCATGAAGCGGATTGGAAGATACAAGCAAGAACAAGCTAAAGATTGCTTGCGAAATAGGCAAATAAACTTTTCCATTCATAACCTTTAGTTACTAAAATAGCTTAATAAGTTGAAAGAAATAATAATAATAATAATAATGTAAATTTAAACGATTATAAAACCATCAAAAATAAAGACAAAAAAGTCCACTTGTAAACAATTTGTCTTATCAATGTTGTTTCTCAGTTGTGATTTAATCATCCATCGCAGGAAAGTACTTGGACTGTTACGAAGATAACAAACATACCCGTGTAATAATGTTTACCAATTATATACTTTTTTCATATTAATTACTGTCGCTAGCGGCGTGGATGATATAATTATCCTCCGGCGTTTCTTCCTGGGTACTGACACCCATTTATTTTGTCTTTATTACACTCTATGTATTTTTCAGTGACTAGGTCTGGTGGGAGACAGCCTTAATTCAGATGTCTAATTAATACAACATATAATTTGTCCTGCAAATACCAGCTTGCCACTAAACACTACTCAAAAACCCGAAGTTCATCATACAAAAATACTTTTATAATTATAATAATATATTATAAAAAAAAATCTCCAACTACCGACTCAAACCCCTTCAAGGCCTTCGATTATCTATACTTCTTTAATTTAGTAATTAAAATTTTTGGTTTAATCAAGATTGAAATCTTTTTATTTAGTTTAAACACACGCTACTATCCCGTGCATTTTAAAACTAAAATATTTATTTATTTAATTAGTCATAACTGTATATTTTTATTTACAAACGACGTAACGGTGCAATGCTGATAAGTGATAAGTCTCGTTTGTGTGCCTGTTGATGATTGTGTAACCTTTTCACGCGTTGATGGCACGTACAAAAAGTTAATACAAAAAATCACCCCAACAACTAATTTGTTTAACTTGTCAACGAATATCGTGTTCAATCTATATAAATAACTCCTTTTTAAAAAACTTTCTGGACAATCTCCCTTAGTTATACTATTAACACAGCTTAAAATGTTTGCTGTTCCAAATCAAAAAAACAATAAGCCAAACTGAATTCGAGCTAAATTTTAATCGGGAAGTGGCAACGACAATAAATGGTCATTGCGTAGTTTTATTTTGTAATATTCTTAACTAAGAAAACAAATAAGAAAGAGCTAAGTTCGGTTGTAAACGAACATTTCATACCCTCGAAAGTCCCAGTATCGAAGCCGGATAAATACCTTCAAGGGTTGGGAAACTTCATATTAAAAGCTGTTGCGAATAGTTCACTATTCATAGTTCCACGAAATCGTGAGTGGATTACAATCAAAATTGTGTCTTATGAACTTATGTTATAAGTAGGACATAGACTAATGGCACAAACCGTCACCGACCCAAAACCGTGTCCCGAATCAGCTGATAAGACCTATCTTATGAGAGCGCAATGTAACTGAACAGTTACCACTATGTTATATCGAAAGTAGCCAGTCTAAAAACTTATTTAGTTGTAGAGTTTATATCCAATGAAACGACAAGTAGAAGCCGCTGAAATATCTCTCGAACTCGCCAATAGACAATGGATATTATTAATTGTGTATATTTATTGTCTGTAGAGTCCTACTCAATCCCAATTGTAATTTATTGGAGATGTGATTATATATATGGTTTTAAGGATAACTTCACTGATTTGCTACTACAAGTATATTCGACTTAGAGAAAACTGGAAACGAAGTTGTTCAGTACTATAACACATCTATAAGATATCGGTTTAAAGTCATTAGCACGAAATATGTTCTCCAACACCGAATTAAATAAATCAGTTGATAAGAAGTCACACCATATGAAGCTCCAATCGGTAACGGGCACACCTAGTCAGAAATTAAAAAAAAATAATAATAATAATTTTTTTATTTTTAGCCAAAAACGACCAAAATTTTGGGTAATATTCAACTTTGTATTAAAAACGCCACCAATTGCCAATTTCGGATTTTTGGTCAACCCTAAGTCATTGTTCGGACAATATTTTCTAGTGAGATTTTTTTTAGGTTGCATCCATGTAGAAGACTGACAACGCGGCAACAAACGTACCAAAGATCGCGTATAAATATATCTTTAAATTTCAAAACAATTGGAACAGTGATACTTTTTTAATTCCCAAAAATAAACTTGTTAAGGTTGCCAGGTGTGCCCCTTAATATGATCCCAGTACTCATACACAATACACTTTCCGATTTCAAAAATTTTGCATATAAAAAGAGACACTGCGGCATGGGATTGCTGAAATCTCTGTTTACACCAGAGATAAAGAGATGCTCAACTCGTCTCTCACTGGAAATGAGAGCGCAATTACTAAACGTCAAAACCTCCTGAACTCAAGCAACTGTTAAAGTTCAGGAGGTATGACGTTTAGCAATTGTAAAAAGAGGGACGGCCAGATTGAAATCGTACAGAAAAATCTGTGAACAGAGAGATTTGTTGCTGCTGTTGAAGATCACTAACAAAAATTGGAAAACAATGAAAATAAAAGAAAAGGCGAAATTGAAATGTATGTGATGCCATGCTTTGTAGTATTAATTTTCAATTGAAAATTATAAAAGAAATATATTTACTAATTGAGAGCTAATACATTTTTTTTTTTGATTAAGTATTGAAAGTTCAAAAATCAATCGTTTTAATATATTACAAAATCACAAAAAAGGGTTTATATACTTTCTGCATATGTTTAACGAATACATGTATAATAATATTTAACCGTAATAAATGTTGGGTATTTTAATTTAAGTTCCTAAAAATTAATATTTTGTCCGATCTGGCTACAATGGAAAATGTTATAAAAAACGCTAATTTTGAGGCGCTCTTACACTGGAAAGAGTTGGGCATCCCAGTATCCCTGGTTTACACAACTCATTTGCATAGTATATGCGGCGCATTATGTGTGTGTTTCTTTTTGTGTTGCCACCTAAATACACGTGTGTAGAAATGCGATAAGAACACACACGTTGCCGGCACAGTAAAGCTTATTGTTATAACGATGCTGCTATTATGGCTATTATAATAGATCATGAATTGCTATTTAAAGCACTTTTCGGCAAGTCAATGGGTAGCATAAAGAAAATATATAAGTATGTATTTACCCCTAAATACCGCGTGAGTCACAACACAGTGAAGCGTTAATGGACTGATGACTATTGTATTTCAACTGTCACCAAGTATCATCTGGTTTGTCAACACACATAATTTTATGTTTAAAACAACAACATCAACAAACAATTGCAAAAACCTGATAACCTGGTGAAATACTTGGCATCAAGAAAAGAGTTAAGGTCATTCAAACAGCTGAGTGCCAATGCTAAAAAAATTGAAGTGGTGTTTGTTTTCCTTCACTCTTTTTTCTTCACTTTCAATTTTACCTTCAGGCTGATTTATATTTGTCTTTATTATTAGTTAGTATATCGCGGGTATCTTTCTAAAATTTCGTTCTACAATTAGTGCGCACTGAAGTTTTTGCTGACGTCTTTCGCCACATTGTCACTTTTTATTGCTTTTGTTTTTCACTATTTTTTTTCGTATTTGTGTTTTTTATTTATTTATTTTCTTTTTTTTTTGGTTTTTAATTGTTTTCTTGCTTCTGTGTTTTTGGCTTAGTTTTTTTTTTTTTTTAATTTATTTTTTATATTTTGTGGCCTGAATTTCGCACAATATACACAAGTGGCGCCTTTTTAGAGGGTTCACATCAAATCTACGCATGTGTACGTATAAATAGCCTGAGGAACTATCTTTGTGTACCCACTAAGCGGCTATACTGTCAGCATAGCACACTTCAACTTTTAAATACAATATCGTCGCTAATACTTACATATTTATTTATTTTGTGAGTAATTATCATAAAACGATATAGCAAATTGTGAAAAATGTTCGTTATTTAATTTTATAATGTCAATTGTGGTATCAATAGACAATTCTTAATTAATGAATTCGCTATGTTGACGCCAGATACATATCTTTCTATCTATTTATGTATGTATGTATAGGCGTGTATATAGGTACGTCTTTTTTGTCTTGTCGGTTTTAAAGAATTTTCGACAATTTTATGTTGCGAACCGCACTCACGATATTTCGCTACCGCACAACCAATGAGAAACACTGCAAAAAACCAACTGACTCCTATGTCTCACCGGCTGTGACTTATGTGCTCATATTGCCTAGTAGGCGACTTGATGTTTTCTATCGGCAAACACATGTTGTTGACTCTAATCGTAGTGGGAACAGAGTTGCCAGTTGAGAAAATCTGTTGGTACCAAAATGCCTACCAAATCTGTTGCAAAATTACAAAATTTTTCTTTTTGCTAAATGTACTCTTCGGCTCAGGGAAAGATATATGAAGATGTCTGAACAAGCACAAGCCGAAATTCTCTCCTCCTTCAACTGATTTCCTGAAAACTTGGATAACTACGTCGCAGAGGCTACTCGTGGAGGCGGAAAAGGCGCAGTGAGCTTTTTCAAGGATGGGTTGATGCTAGGAGAAAAGGTTGAAGGGGAAGTTTTCTGTAAGGAGCTCCACCTCAATCTGTAGTGGTTTTCAGGCAGAAACGGCTGCTATTAAGATGGCGGTAGAGCCTCTTGCAGGGAGGTGAGCATTTACTTCGACAGCAGTGCGACAATCGCTGGTCGACTACCAACTCCTGTGCGACTGCGACATCCTTTTGGCCTAGAGTAGAACACAGGAAATCTACTGAACTACTTACCTACTACTACCTGCCGCAATCGTAGGGGTTCTTACAAAACGCTGTACAATAAACATTCATGCAGTAAGGTTAAAAATCTTGTCGAACGCTAGTTGTCTAAGATGTATGGAGGAGGGTGAAGTAAAAACAACCAGGCACTTTCTCCAAGTGAGGTCCTTGTTGGTATCGCCTTCATAACCTAAGTCAACCTAACGCCCTCCTTTTTCTTCCAGCCAAAAGAAATGCCAACGCAATTAAATACCAACAACTCTTACAAAATCACCTGGTCCCTTCAATTGAAGAGCACTTTTCCCATAATTTTTCAGGATGATTTTGCAACCTCCTATCGAGCCAAATCGGTAAGTAATATTATATTTTTTATATGACATTAGCTTATTAACATTTCATTTCAAAAATATATGTTTAATATAATTCACATTATAATTTTTTCCGATAAAAAAATATTCAGCCGAATTATCAGTGGACTGGCTTGGGAACAGTTCCAATATAAACCCCATAGAAAACCCTTGGCACATCAGGAAAGTGAAAGTGTGGATAACAAAGAAGAGACCTTTCACGAAATTTTTTGGAGACTTAACTTCTTATGTTCTAAACACACTGTATTTTTATACTCTCGCAACCTGTTGCTACAGAGTATAATAGTTTTGTTCACCTAACGGTTGTTTGTATCACCTAAAACTAATCGAGTTAGATATAG